GTTTTGTCGCTCGGCATCTGTCCATCGGGCTGGATGCCATGCTCCAGACAGTAGAGCTCCCAGCAGGCATTGCCCATCTGGACTCCGGCTTGGCCAACATGTACGCTGATACATTCACGCTACATTTCGCGGGTCAGACTAAATGTCAGCGAACTTACCATTATGAAGGATCTCTACGGTTGCCCTCGATCGACACGGCGAAAAGGGAAACGGCAAGGGACTGAACGCGCTCACATCGTGGCTCGTTTTTACTCGGGCTGCGTTCTCCTTTCCATCTCTGATTGGTTAACGTACAGGGTTTTTACCAATTAGCACACTGGATTGGTTAATTTGTGCCTGATTGGCAGAGTGCGAAAGACGGGGAGTTTGATTGGCTTGTCTGTCTGCCTCTCTATCTGACGTCTGGCCGTGCGCATGCTCTGGCCTGCTGATACCCAAGTCGTATTGGTTGCCTGATGTAGGTTGCCAATTCATGGGCGTAAGATCGTTGATGAGTTGGAGGGTCCTATAGGACCGACACCTGCTAATCGGCCTGGTGGTCCGATCAAACCTTAGCATTTCTGTAGGGTGCCCGGACGGCTATTTAAGTCGAGACGTGTCAAATCATTGCTAAGACTGAAAGCGGTGTACTTTAGAAGTTTCTGACGCGAGACATTGGCTCCATGAGAAGGTGGTGTGATTGCAGACTGGCTCTAAGCCATTATGTCCAACAACAACATGGAGACCAAAGAAGCATAAAACCCTTGTTAATGGTCGTTTGTGAGTTATCGGGCCCTCTGCCTGGAGAGGTCAGACTGGACTAACGCTTCTACCGCACGTACATGAACACAACGACGGGGAACGAATCAGCGAATATTGCTACTCGCACCATCAAGATGGGCGACGTCCACAGGTTTAAAATCTCCACAACTTAGAAAGGTTCATATTTTCCAGTATATGCTAACTTACAACATTTAAACCGACCTCGCTGTCCTGTTTCCCGTGTTGGTGTGGAGCCTTGTGGTTTC